AAAAATAAATTAAAATCTTTTTAGCGTTAGTTTTAATCTTAATTAAAAAAGGATTTTTTTTTTTCGTCCTTTTTTTCTTTTTCTTTTCTTTTTCTTTTCTTCTTTTCTTCTTTTCTTTTTTTTAAATATATATATATTGTGGTGGAGTTAGGGGTCTGTATTTGTTTTGTCCATGTATATAATACTGATGCTAGGCACCTTTATTACGTGGGTGCACCGCATGCTCTGGCCTTGCTAAGCACGTAGTTAGGTTACGTGCAGGCTTTTATATAAACGAGTAATTGGTTTTTCTTTAAACTAGCATCATATTATTATATCAATATAATACGCATATATATAAAACACAATCGAGTGTCCTCGAACGTCCTTCTTCTTTTCTTTTATTTATTTACGATTTTATTATAGTTATATATATATATATATCTTTTGATTTAACGTTAAATATATATCAAAGCTCTTTTTCTTTATATATATTTAATGATTTACGCAAGGAATCGAACTAAAAGTTGGTCTTTATACTTCTTTTAGACTTGTTTTCTTTACGAAAAGCTATATATTCGGAATTCACGTCATACGCTAAGCTATTGATTATATGCTTTTGCGATATACTCTTAAAGAGTATTCGATATACGCTAAGCTAATAATTATGGTGACAGATGGCGTATACCTAAGTAGGTGGAGCAGATCAAGAGTCCAAGAGATGGCGATAGAAGTGTCTAATCTATTCAAGGGAGCACGGGAGCAACTGTAGATATATATATATGATACGTGGCCTCTAAAGAGCTTGGCAGCACGTGCAAAGGAGCACGTGCGGGCACGTAAGGAGCACGTAAGGTAAGGACTATATTATACAACACACCTTTTAATTGCGAAACTATTGCTCAACTGAAAAAAGGCTCGCCTAAAGAAAAAGGGAAAAAAAACAAACGAAAAAACCCAAGAAAAATTTAACTAAAAGATGAACGAAGCTTATAAGCTCCTAAACAAAAGGTAGACCAAAAATAGGAGCACGCTAGCGCTAGTAAGCTGCAACGAGCCTTCTTAAAGCGGCAATAGCTAATAGCCTTTAAGGTAAGGTGCAAAGTAAGTCCGCTTGCCGTCGTAAAGACTCGTTAACTTAAACCTCTACCTCTTAAGAGCGACTCAAACAAAAGAACTTATAATTAAGGCAAGCGTCTTAATTCTTTATACTACACCTCTTTTTCGCAAGCTCTAATACAGTTTCTAAGCTTTAATAAGCTTTTAGCAGCGCTAAGGCTGCGGCTTAATCTATTCTTTTAGCTTGCGCGAGCGGCTTTAAGCCTTTTATAAACCTCCTTTTAAGTGGCCTTTCTTAAGCAATTATACTTTTAAAGTATTTAAGCTTGCTTTCGCTAATAAAAGCTTCATTCTCTTTTTATTGAAGCTTTAAGCTTGCTTTTAACTTTTCGTAGCTAAGCATAAAGAATCGCTTTTTAATAGCTTAAAGCTTCGGCTCCGATACTATAAGATTCTTCGAGTTTTAATTAATAAAAGCAAGTCTTAATAAATCGCAAAAAAAAAGCTATTAAAAGTAAGTACGCATATAAAAGCAAACCTTTTTTTTAAAAGCTCGCTAAGTATAGCGAATATACTTTTACGAGCTCCTTTTTATTATAAATGCCTTTTAAATATCTTTACGTAATCTCTTAAGCTTTTTAACTTAAAAGCTTTTCTTATATTAATAGCGTCGATCATAAGTCTTAAGTAGCGACTCTTTTAAGTAAAGTTTAACTTTTAAGCAATTGCTTTTAAGAAATTCTTTATAGCAAAAGAACCGATAACATTTTGCAATTCGAGCTTTAAAGCGATAGCTTTAAAGTGCACGAGCTTTTAATTTCGAATCTATTGCTAAGGTTTAATAGTCCTCGCAGCTTTTTTATTAAAGATCCGACGGTATTTGTTTCGCATATGCTTTTTCGTCGATTCGTTGTCTTCCGCGTATTAATCTCGTAAAGACCTTATTAGCTTTTAAAGTGAAAACTTCTTTTTCTTAATTAAACGAGTTTTATAAAGCTGCAATAGCTTTTTGAAGACCGTTTGATTCACTTACTTTAGCATATACTAATATTTAACGTTTAAAGCGCTTTAGCGCGCTTTTTTCTTAAAATACTCTCTCGACCGATATGCAAACTCTTTTTTAACGTCTTAAAAACTCGCACCTTTTAATATTAAGCGGTTTTTACGAATAGCTAAAAGCGCCTTTTTCTATTCCTTTATAAGATTATCTTTTCGCTCGTTCTTTTTAACGATCAAGTCGTTAATCGTAAATAGCGCCGGCGGTTTTAAAAAAAGGATATAAAGCTAAGTTTCTTTCGAATAAAAGTCTGCAAGCTTTTAAACGCTTTTTATTATCGCAACGGCTTTATAATCGATAAACCAATCGACTTATAACGCTCGGTCCGTAAAGTATTAAGCGCTTTAAAATAATATATCGTGAATAAAAGGTAGCTCGAAGTAAAATATAAAATAAAGTAAAATAAAGTTTAAAAAGCTTTTACCGAACGCTTTAAGCGTTAAAAAGAAGAACAACTTCTATCGATCGAAAAAAAAAAACGATAATAATAATCTTACAGCTACTAAGGCAGTCTATACCGTATTAACGATAATTAAAGGAGCTCGTAAAGGCGTGTGGCTCTTAATTATAATGATAGATAGCGTATACTATGGTGGAGTTGGGGCTCTGTATTTGTTTTGTCCATATATATAGTACTGATGCTAGGCACCTTTGTTACGTAGGTGCGCTGCATGCTTTAGCCTTGCTAGGCACGTGGTTAAGTCACGTGCAGGCTTTTATATAGACGAGTAATTGATTCCTCTTTAAACTAGCACTATATTATTATACAATACAATACACGTATTTATAAAGCATATTCGAGTGTCTTTCGATCGTCTTCTTTTTTTCCTTTTTATTCATTTACGATTCTATTATAGCTATATATATATATATATCTTTTGATTTAACGTTAAGTATATATCGGAGCTCTTCCTTTTTATATATATTTAATAACTTACGTAAAGAATCGAACTAAAGGTTGGTTTCCATATCTTTTTTAAACTTGCTTTTCTTACGAAAAGCTATATATTCGGAGTTTACGTTATACGCTAAGCTATTAATTATATGCGTTTACGATGCACTTTCAAAGAGTATTCGATATACGCTAAGCTAATAATTAAATGCTTTTGCATATAAGCTTTAAGGTTATTGCTTTAAAAGCGATCTTTTTTCGATTTGTATTCGTCGAGTATGCTATTCGGTATACTCGATAAGTATTATTTAAAATATCGTTATTTTAATTCGAAGATCGAGCTAGCTAAAGTTCAATTCGGTATTTATAAAATTCTATTTACTTAAGCTATTTTGCACGGCGATACGCTCGAAATATTATTCGTTTAATATACTTTACCTTTTCGATTTAATATCGCTTTTAATGCGAATCTATTGCTTTTT